ATAATCTGATTGGAACCTCCTTTGTGTGTGGTTTCCAATTCAATAATAAGAGTTTATACTATACTTGTTTGATATACCATTAGTGGAACCTCTAACCTTGACATTTGTTATTATTATTGTTTAATCCTTACATTAATTTTCTATCTCCAAGTTCTCATCATCTTCTTCTTCTTCTCTTTCTTTATTATTATTACTACTACTACTACTACTACTACTATTATTATTATTATTATTATTATTATTATTATTGTTAGTATTATTATTATTGTTGTTGTTATTGTTATTGTTATTGTTGTTATTTATAATTTGTACAAATAACCTCCCTGTGGTTCGACCCCGGTCTTGCCGGGTTATTTATTACTTCGACACTCCTGCACTTAGGAGAAGATATCAATTTTTCGTCGTGTCAATTATTGTGTTTTGTTGTTACTTATATTTGTTTCAGTGTGTTCCAGGTTTGTCACTGTTTGTTATTTCAGGTGATATCTTCTATACTCTATCTTTCTACCTTTAAACATTGAGGACAATGTCTTGTTTTAGTTGGAGGGAGAGGGTAGTAGCTAAAAAAAAAAACTGTGTTTTCTATTTTATAAAGTATGTGCAAAATTGTTGTTTTTATGATGGCAGACTAAGGAGAACTTTTATGACTCTTGAGACGCATTTTAGTAACCATTCTTAATAAGGTCTATTATAATACTTCCTGAAATATTCAGATTTACAAACTCTTGCATTATTATCACTTAATTCTGCTCATATACTCATTTTACATATATTCTTAAAACCTTAATTTTCACACACACACTTTAACATATGATGGTAGGTTGCATATTGGATTATTACATTATTTATGTTCTTTTGTTAAGGGTAACAACTAAGGGAAATGGATAGTATCTTATTTAAACAAAAAAAAAAGTGCAAAAAAATATAAAAATATAAAAAATAATGATAATAAAAATGTAGATAAGTTTGGTTTCGTAGCCTCCTTAACCTAAGCAATTAAGCCCGAAGGGGTGTTTTAACACTTAATACCCTAAAGTCATTTGACTTGGGAACTATTGGCCCAACGCTTGCTACATGGGTTGAGGAGAAAAGCTTAAGAAAATCAAACATAGCATTATCTACGTATCAGTATCTACGACCCGAGTTACTAAGCTCGTAGGGGTGTCTTAACACCTAATGCCCTAAGACCAACTAGTCTGGGAGTCATTAGCCGAAAGCTCGTTACATGGGTTAAAGATGCATGGTGTTTTAAGTTATATGTATATATAAAAAAAAGAAAAAAAAAGAAAAAAAAGACAAAAATTATAATCCCAACCTAAGGAAGTTAACCTTAAACATTAGAACAAAAATTTTGTTGTCTTCCAATAAAAGCCCCATAATTATGTGTTGATATATTGAGCACAAAAGAAAGGTTTATGAATTTCTTGTTAAGAGGTATTGAGCAGGTATATAAATTTAACGAGAGTTTGTTTATCTAGATAGATTAATGGAAGTTAAATGATGAATACCTTGCTTTGTGAAATTTGCAAATTATTTTATATTTTAATGCTTTGATTACTAGGGACTAGTAATAAGTTGGTTTGGGGGTGTGATTAGTACTTAAAAGTGCATTTTTATCAAGGTTTTATGTCATCATTTTGCACTTGAAGTATCAATAACTCCTTAACTAAAGCATGTTTTATAATACTATATCTAATAATATAAGATACCTTTAATTTGTGGTAAATATTCATTTTAAATGCAGGCCTATCACATAAATAAAAGGATTGATTGATGAATTTAAGAACTGAAATTGAAAGGATAAAGAGATGGCCAAACTTAGAAAAGAGATGTCGGTGCAATCCAAACCGGAACATTGTTCGGTAATGGGGTCATATCTCGAGATCTAGATCTCAGATTTAGGTCTACTTTATATGGATGGAAAGGTAAGACATAGACCTACAACTTTCATATGGAGTCCAAGATCTAAAAAGGCCATTTTCAAGTCCAAATTATTCCAACAACAAAGAAGCCCGAATCTGTCCTCCAGCCCGAGCACTGTTCAGTATGTTGGCCATATCTGCAGTTCTAGAGGTTGAAATGAGCTGAATGTTTTACACAAGAACGCTAAGACAATTTTCTACAACTTTCATGTTTTTAAGCGGCTCCAATTTTGAAGTTATCAATGACGTTTTGGGCAGACAAGAGAAGATAAGGATTGTCACCAAGTCAAGAGTTGGTCACCCACTCATCAATTAGTCATCAAATCAATAGTTCCCAATTTTGGCCTATAAAAGGAGGCATTTGCCATGTATTTAGACATCTTGGTTTCCAGATCAAGATCATGCTCTTGCTTTCTCTCTTTGTATTTTTTGTAATGTTTATGCTTTGCTTTCATTAATATCAAGATTATGCCTTTCATTTCCTTTCCTTTACTTAGTTAACTCTTATCTTATTTATGTTCTTATTTTGTTTATTTATTTTTCTTTCTTTTATTATGTTTAGCTAAGTTTATTATGTCAAGGTGAAAAGGTTACACTAATGGTGTAAGAATAAGTATAGTGTAAACTTAATATGGACTTTAATGTTTGATACTAACATGTTTTGTATTTGTTATCTTGTTCACTCTTTAATACTTTGTTTGTTAGATGACTAATCTTGATTTATGTTGTATAACACTTGGTACAACAAATGCTTGGCACTTTCATAGCCCACATTGTATGGTATAACCGACACCTGAGCTATGAAAGGAACTTGATTTGTTGTTAACATAAGTTATAATCATGAATGCTTGACGAGATTTACAAGTATTAGCATTAATCGAATAAGATGACTAATGTAATCATGTTAACAATATATAATCTGATTGGAACCTCTTTTGTGTGTGGTTTTCAATTGAATAATAAGAGTTTATACTATACTTGTTTGACATACTATTTGTGGATCCTCTAACCTTGACATTTGTTATTATCATTGTTTAATCGTTACATTAATATTCCATCTTAAAGTTCTCATCTTCTTCTTCTCCTTCTTTTTCTTTATTATTATTATTAGTATTATTATTATTATTATTATTATGATTGTTGTTGTTGTTGTTATTACTGTTGTTGTATTATTGTTATTTATAATTTGTACAATTAACCTCCTTGTGGTTCGACCCCGGTCTTGCCGAGTTATTTATTACTTCGACACTCCTGCATTTGGGAAAAGACAACAATCTTTTAGTCGTGTCAATTGTAAATAAACAAATTAGATGTATTTATTATATTTGAATATTTAAGCAAAACTGATAGTACATTTTGATTTCCAAATATCATGTTCATTAATTATAAGAACAACAAATCAATCTTTAGGTGATCCTAAATTTTATAATAAAAAATCAAAATAAAAAAGATAAATACCAAATGTGAAGGAAATATTAATTGGAGGGACAAGTTTAAAATTTTAAAGGAGCTAGTGTTGAATTTAAGAAGGAGGAAAGAAAAAATAAATTTAAGGATAAAGACCAAATAAGAGGTGTTTTGGCATACATATTGCCCCATAATAGAGAGAGCTCCAATACATTTCAAGTGTTATCGTGGAAGGTAGTATTTGATAGTCAAATGACCTCACACATGCATTTCAAAGAAAACATGCACTTCAAAGAAAATAGGGGTTGTCCACTCGTAGCACGCATCCATATTTGTTTTTAATAATATATATTATATGATCAATTATAATTTTATCCTTGAGTAACCGACACATTAACAATAAAACTAATGTAAATGGATAAAAAAATTATTATAAAAGAGTTATGTTGATTTTGTCTTTAAAGATAAAAAAATAATTTTAATATTTTCAAAAAAATTAAAAACTTTTATAGTTCCTGGTTGAAATGTATTACAATTTTTTCATTGGAGGATTAAATGATAAATTTTCCTTTGCAAAATTTTTTAATTGAAACTGTTAACTGCTCAAATTATTAAAAACAATTGTAAGTGAAAACACTCTTAATGCCTTCTTAAAAGTTTTCTTTCGGCAAATAACAAATTAGTGATTTGTTATTGGATCTAGAGTAACTTTGCCCGCTCTCTTTAATTTTTTAATATTGATTAACATGTTTGAAAGCAAATGTTAAATCTTTTTATTTTGAAATAAGAATATTTTCAAATCAATTTATCCTTTAATTAATATTAATTTTTTCTTAGGTTATTCTAAAAATGCACCACTCCTGCTCTAGATTGATACATTTATAAGAACATTAATAAATTTATTAAAATGTTAGGTTAAAAGATTTCAATTTAAAAAGTTAAAAACAAAGTGACCATTTTTAATCACAAAATAATATTTAATTTTAGATAGTAAAAATCAATGATGTTGTGCAAAATTCTCTATTTATAATAATGTTGGTGAGATATTTTCAATATCATCACATAGTCAGTTGATTTTTTTATAAAATCAAATTACTATACACAAATAGTAAAAGAAAAGGTTTTCATATATATATATATATGTGTGTGTGTGTGTTAAACCCGTGAATTCTATGTCATTTAAAGTTGGCTTGAATAAAATAGATTAATATTATGTTTTGTATCTCTATTTTTATTTATCTATAAAATTTGTTTTTATTAATTGTTTTTAGTATAAATAGCTTAATTTATCAATTATGTCAATTTAAATAGAAAGTTTTAAAGAATTAGATGTTATATATGAATATAATAAATATTATAGATAAAATTAAAAAATTAAGGATATATTAAAGATTTGATTAATTATAAAATAATAAATTGAGTCATATATTATTTTTTTAATGAATTATAGTTTTTTATTTTTGTTATTGGGGTGACATGTGTTAGTATTATAAGTTACCACTTTATATTTGGAAATGTTAAAAAAAAAAAACAATAATCTAAACATAAATATGATAATGAAAATAATATTTTAAAAAATAAAAGTAAATGAAAAATTTTATAAAATGAATTCAAACAAAAAGTGAAATAAATTAACATTTAAAACCCAAAAACTAATAAATTTTCTTTAATCACAACCATTGATTAGCACCGGCTAAAACATAACATCAAGCTGTTGTGACCAGCCGCCATAACCCACCACCTCAAATCACGTTGACACCACCCTAGCCACCATAGTTCCCACCACGAATCGATCCTCGATTGTGAACCACCCAAGATCACGCCACCATTACCAACCATGATATAAGACTTGGCCTTATATAGCCTAAATCACGATTTTTAACTAGTTCTGTAAGCACTTCCCTGTTGCATGAAAGGTTTTCGACAATTTGTCCCAATAAAACACACAATTTAAAAGAAGACATCTCTCTCTCTCTCTCTCTCTCACACACACACACACACAAAAAAAAAAAAAAAAACAGCTGAAAGCTTGAGTTGAATTTGCTACTAATAAATCAAACTCTGAATGTGGTCGTCAGCTATGATGGTTCAGTGAATTAATGATAATAATTATAATAATGTTGGGTATCGCAGCTTCAATAAGAGGAGGCGTAGGCATTGGTCGCCGGCTTAGCTTCGCTATCAGAAAGTGTGTTTTCTTCTCTTCTCTTCTCCTCTCCCTTGCATTATGTTTTTTTCTTTAATAATTTTGTTTTTTTTTTTTTTTTTTTTTTTTTTTTTTTTTTTTTTTTTTTTTTTTTTTTTTTTTTTTTTTTTTTTTTTTTTTTTTTTTTTTTTGTTCTCTGTGATTGCCATTTATTTATGCAGGGAATCTTTAACTTGGTACCGTAATCTACTAGTTCAAAACCAGTCGGACAGTTTTAATTACACACCATCTGCTGTCTGCTGTTTTTTATGGGCAGAAAGACCTGGTGTTTTTCTTGAAAATTTTGCTAGGCATATGAGCACTGCATCATTGGAGCTGAGGACGGACAATGATTTTGTTAGATTTTCGATTACTAAGGATGGGTATTCAGCAAAAGAGAAGAAAAGTATGAAAAAGGTGCCCAGATATGTTAAAATGTCGAAAAAGGCGAAACTTAATGAACTCCGGTTCTATCGCCTCAAGGCCAAAAAGAAGATGAATTCTCCGAATCCTGAAGTTAGGATTAGATATAAACTTGAAAAGGTTGGACCATTTTTTTATTTTACTTTTTTTCAAGCGGGGCTTGCATGTTCTTAATTTTTATTTTTTTTGGCTCAGGCCAGAAGGAAGGAAGCATGGTTGATTGAAAAGCTCAGGAAACTTGAAGTCCCCAAAACCCCAGGTGAAGCATATGATCCTGAAATATTAACAGAAGAGGAGAAGCATTACCTCAAGCGTACTGGCGAGAAGAAGAAAAACTACGTTCCAGTTGGCCGACGAGGGGTTTTTGGAGGCGTTGTTCTCAATATGCATCTTCATTGGAAGAAGCACGAAACCGTCAAGGTTACTTGCAAACCTTGCAAGCCAGGCCAAATTCATGAATATGCTGAAGAGCTTGCTCGACTTAGCAAAGGGATCATTATTGACATAAGACCTGACAACACCATTATTTTCTACAGGGGAAAGAACTATGTGCAGCCAAAAATCATGTCCCCTCCAGATACCCTATCTAAAGATAAAGTGAGTTTGCCTAGTTTTTTTTTATTCCTTTGAAATATCAGTTCAGGACTGTTCATTGCTTAAATAGTTGCAATATGTTTTATTTAGTAATTGTTTTTTTTTTTTGTTGTGGGGGGGGGGGGCGGGGGCTAAAAGGTTCGAAGCTTCAGTTTTCTTAATTTTTTGTTTGATACGAAAGCAATAATAGATCACTAAATTTCTTGTGAATTTTTTTCTGTTAATGGGCGCATTTTATGCCTAAAAGATATTGGTAGAAGATTGTCCGCTCAGGTTTTTATTCCTGAGGGACTTTTGTTTTACAGCTATGTTGCTATAATTTCTTATCTTTTTTTTCTGTTTTAGAGCTCAATGTTTTCTCTGCTTCTTGCTCTCTTTTTCTTTCTTTCTGGTTCAGTATTTTCAATGACTCACTGAAATTAAAAACTATTTGGTAGACGAGGACACAGTTTGCAATCTTCAAGGTGTGAGGGGATTATGGGTTGGCAAGCTAGTACTCTTACCAGGCCTTTTCTCTTGATGTTGTTATGGAAATACTAGTCTTTGTAGTCATGTGAAGGTAAGCATGGGAGGATTTGATTTTCAGAAGGTTGCAAACAACTGAAATTTCAGAAGGTTGTAGTTAGGTGAGACTTTTAAAAGGTTTTGGCTTATTATGGTGGGATAGACTGATGCCACTGTCATTCTCTCATGGGGAAAGTATTTTCAGCTTTGACACAACATTTCCTGAGGAAATACTAGTCTTTGTAGGCATGCGGCGGTGAAGGTAAGCATGGGAGGATTTGATTTTCAGAAGGTTGCAGCTTCCATTAGGTGAGACTTTTAAAAGGTTTTGGCTTATTATGGTGGGATAGACTGATGCCACTGTCATTCTCTCATGGGGAAAGTATTTTCAGCTTTGACACAACATTTCCTGAGGAAATACTGGTCTTTGTTGGCATGCGGTGGTGAAGGTAAGCATGGGAGGATTTGATTTTCAGAAGGTTGCAAACAACTCAAATTTCAGAAGGTTGTAGCTTGCATTAAGTGAGACTTTTAAAAGGTTTTGGCTTATTATGGTGGAATAGACTGATGCAACTGTCATTCTCTTATGGGTAAAGTATTTTCAGCTTTGACACAACATTTCCTGAGGAAATACTAGTCTTTGTAGGCATGTGGTGAAGGTTAGTGTGGGAGGATTTGATTTTCAGAAGGTTGCAAACAATTCAAATTTCAGAAGGTTGTAGTTTGCATTAGGTGAGACTTTTAAAAGGTTTTGGCTTATTATTGTGGGATAGACTGATGCGACTGTCATTCTCTTATGGGAAAGTATTTTCAGCTTTCACACAACATTTCCCGAGGAAAGTCTCATCAGGGCTTTGCCTTCTCATTCTTTTTGCTTTTTTTTGCCCCAAAATCTCAATGAACCGGGAGGAATCAAGTTCTTGTTATTTTGAATGGTTTGGATGACTGAATGGCACTTGAATGGCTTAATCTGTTATAGTGATCCAAGCATAGGAAGTGAATTGATGAAAATGCTTGATCCCTTGCCAAGGGGAAAAGGCCTGTGTTGTAGGTGGCAGCATATTATTTGGTCAGGTTATTTTGGCAGTAGTGACAACACATTTGAAATAGCATCATTGTGTATTTAGGAGGTGGTTCCTTGAAAGGGAATTTAGTGAATAGTTCATGTATGGTTTTTGAATCATCTGGAATTTTGTATTTGACTAAATCTTTTTGTTTAAAAATTCTTGTAGTCTATAAGCCAACCATTTAGTTTTATATTTTTTTTAAATTTTTGTTTCTGGAAAATATGTTCTGTTGGCCATTGGAAATCACGGTTAATTTTAACTCCTCATCTTAATAAAGTCAGCAATGTCCTTGTCATGGTGACATGAATCAATTCTCGGTAATAAAGATTATTTTTTGGCTTGTTGACCACCCATTAATCCTGTGCAGTGAAGGTCTAGGTATTACTTTATCTTGTCAATACTCAATTACTGGCGTTATAGTGGTTTTCCTTTGGAAAATTGCAGGCCCTGGAAAAATATAGGTACGAGCAGTCGCTTGAGCATACAAGTCAGTTCATTGAGAAATTGGAGAAAGAGCTTGAAAATTATCAGGAGCATGTTGTTCGTTACAAGAATAGGAAAGAAGCTGCAGGAGACATTACGATTGCTGATGTATGAAAACAAAGATCTAATAATCTTTTGAATGTTTTCTGGAGTCAAAGAACTTATGTCAAAGAAAAAAGAAAGAGTAATATGTCCAAACCATATAAATGAAAAACTGCAATAGGAGCCCTTTTGGTTGTCAAAGGCTTTTGTTCATGATATTTGTCTTTTTAGAGATGGCCTATTTCTTTGTTTTGCAGGATGGACTCTCTCAAATAACAAATCAAAGTTGACTTTTCTACATTAAGTGGATAGAACCTTCTGCTGATTATGAGACGGAATTTTGCCTCATGGAACAGATCAGACATGGTAAATATTTCATCAACTTACTTGAGGAGGTAGAGCTTTTCATTATAAAAACCATTTGTATATCTTTTCTATGCAAGATTGGGTGCTTTTCTACCATCTTTGAAGTCCTCTTATCGGCTGTGTTATCTCCTTTTCATTTCTGATCGAAAGGGAATTGATTCAATGATATTGCTATCTATATTCATGTTCTTGTTTTCTGGAATTTAACTTGATAGGCATCTATGCACCATGAAGTTTGGCCCTCATTTCTGTGTTTTTATATTTTGTTTGATGTCTATAGTAGCTGGTTTTTCTTCAGTTTTCTTCCTTGTATAATTTCTTATAGTTGGTGTTTTAAGGATTTTGACATGCCCATTTTAATCTTTTTTGTAAATCAGAAGCAAAAAAAATAGAAGATGACCAACTGTAATGCAAATTTGAGTGGATCAGATGAGAGAGAGTAGCTGTACAAAACGAGCATCCTTTTTAAGAGAGTAGCTTACCGTAATTTCTCCCATGTTCAGTAAGCCAGTAACGTTAGAGGACCCCTAATTTATCTGCCGGGTACTTTCATTTCTCCCATTTTTATTTTAAAGGGAAAAATCTCAATTTAGTGCCTAATTTTGAGTGACAAAACAGGTTCATAATGTTTCAGACATTTGTCTACTGGGTACTTTCATTAGATCAATGTTTGTTTGTTTTTTTTGTTGCTATAAAACGCCGATGTCTGAAACATTTTAGATATAGCTGCTAAAATGTTTAGTTTTAGGACTGAATTGAGAATTGGATAACATGTTGAGAGACTAATTTGAAATTTCACCTATTTTTCATCAAACGGTGGAGGAGGTGTAGGAGCTGATTTGCATAAGTGAATTAGCTAGACCCAACAAAATATTATAATAAGAAAAAGACACTATAAAAATTTCATTCCATTATTTTATTTAATTAATATGAATATCCGAGTTAATTTGCATGTATTTCAATTAATTTTATGAGCTTTGTCGAAAATTATATAAATTTTCAATAGTCTTAAGGTTTATGAAAATTAAGGTTTAGGTTTATGAAAATTAAGGTTTATAAAAATTAAATTGATGATTTTGGAATAGTAAATCTAGAATTTAATTAGTTTAATTAGTTGAGGTATATCTCTTTTTACAGTTAATTTTATAAAATCAACATTATAGGTGATTTTTTTGTAACCACATGTGGTATTTTTAAATCATCTTTATAGATTGATTCATTTTATTAAAAAATTAAATATCAGGAACTTTGTAACTATCTAAAAGTCAACAGAAAAATATTTTATTAATTCAAAGATTATTACTATTTGTTACTTAATAATTACAAAGTTTTTATATTAAATATTACAATTTTATCATTAAATAAAAAAAAAATATGCTATTTTACACTTTGCTTGAGCTTTATGAGTTAATGAAATACCTATATGATACAAAATAATAATAATAATTTATCATTATATTTCATTTAATAGCTTTCTGAGTTCATGAGACACCTATATAATGCAAAATAATAATAATAATTTATTATTATATTTTATTTAATAACCCAAAAATTCATGATGCATCAAATTAATAATTAAACCACTAATTAAAGTTATCATTGCAATTTTTTTTCCTTCTGCACTAGATTAATCACCAACAATGAATCCGTAAAAGTTGTCTCGCAATCAAAGCAATCATCCTAGCCACAATACCAATCCTAACACCTTTTGGAAAATGGTCACCATTGAAATAAGGATATTTATTCCTTTTTTTTTCTTTTCTTTTTTTGCTGAACTTTTGTTTTCTAACCAAGCAGATTTTATTTCAAACAAAACTTTTAACTTGACAAAAGTGTTCAAAACAGACTTTGCTTTTTATTCTTGATTAAACAAATCTGTAGCATTTGAAATCACAGATTTATCAAAAGTAGAACTACATTCCCCATTTATAAGAAAAAACTTCAACCTAAGCATAAATCTATAGGAAAATAAATGGGGTTTTAAGATTAAACATAAGTTAAATAGATAAATAAATAAGTAACAGGCTCATTTGAAGGTGAAAAACTATGACTAAAAAGAGGGAATAAATTAATAGGACATATTCTTCCTTGTGGTGAGATTTGTTTTCATTCATTAAATTCTTGCTATTTTCTCCTATTTGAATGGGAAATTATTCCATGAATGTAAAGATTGCATTTTATAATAAATACCATATTTTTTAATAGATAACTAGACAAAGAGATTTATATAGATCAACCAAAATGTTTTACGGTAAAAGGGAAAGAACGCAAAATTTTTAGCCTCAAATGTTTTATCTATAACCTGAAACAATCGTCTAGGCAATGGTATCACTAGTTTCACTAAGCTATTATTTTGATTGGTTTTGTGATGACCAAGAAAGATTATTGTGTGTATGTAAAAAAGGTTTAGAAAAGAGTTCTTATTCTTTCTTTATATATAAACAATATTTATTAGCTGGAAATGATTTAAAGTTGATTATATTTACTTTAAAGTTGTTGTCCTCTATGTTTGAGATGAAGGACATGGGTCATGCATATTGGGAGTTAAGATCCAAAATGATCAATCTAAGATAGTTTTAAGTTTATCTCAAGAGAATTACATTAAAAGAATCTTAGAAGATTTTATATATGTAATTCTAAATTCATTGATAATCCAATTATAAAGAGTCTTGCTCTTAGTGCTAAACAATATCCTAAGACAAAGGAATAGAAAAAGCAATTAATATATGTTTTTTATTCAGTGCAATTGGTAGTCTAGTGTATCCTATGATGTGTGCTCGATCTAATATATATTTTGTTGTTGGCATGGTTAGTAGATATTAAAGTAATCTTGGTATTGCGTATTGGAAAATAATTAAAGGAGTTTTCAATTTCTAAAAGGAACAATAAATCTTTCCTTATGCTACCATAGTGGCAATCTCAAATTGATCAGATATAAAGGTGTTAATGTATCTACTAATAGAGATGATAGAAAATCTACCTTAGAATATGTTTTTATTCTAGGAGGTAGGGTCATTTCATGGTGTAGTATAAAGCAATTTATATCTCTTTATCTATAATAGAGTCAGAATATATTGCTTACGTAGCCACTGGCTAGGGGGCCATCTGTCTTGGATAATTCTTGCATAGCTTGAATGCTACAATACTTATAAAAGATTATATTATTTATTATGACAACACTTATGTAATAGCTTATGCAAGGGTCCTAAATATCATGGCAAATCAAAGCATATTGGTACCAAAAACCATTTTATTCAAGACATTATTGCATAAGGTCAAATTTTCCTTAAGCATATCTCTACTTATAAGATGGTTGCTAGATGGTTGCTGATCCATTTATCAAACCTCTTCTAAGAGATATTTTTTTTAGGCATGTTAGAGGTTTATGATTATATAGGATTTAATAAGCTTGTATTTTACATGATTGGATATTGTGGATCTTTTATGCATTAATGTTTCATGAATATTCTTCTTGCATAATTATTGTTAATTTAAATTAGTGTATAATATCATATTAAATGTAAATATCATCAGGGAATGATTGTCATTCTCACCTAAGAAATTGCCTTATAGTTGAGAAAGCAAATAGGACAAGATATATTCCTATCATAAGATGCATTTTAATAATGCTCATGATATGCTTAGCTTTTAGTGAGCTAACAAGGAAATATTTCTTGTTATTTTATGTCATCTAACTTAGAGTTAAGATAAGACTTATAAGTAAAAAATATAGAGGTTCACATCTCTATAAAACATCTTAAATAGCCAAATGTGATAATTTCAAGAAGGCATTAGAAGAGTGATTGTCTTAAAATACTGAGGTTAAGAGCAATATTTTAGCTTTAAGCCAAGGTTTGTATGGTGTATAAGCATGACATTCCTTGTAGTGGGAGCTTTACCATAACATATAGTATCATATTTTATGTATATCGACCACAAAAGGAAGTGATAGAATTTATCCCTTCTCTATCATTGTGTGAGTCCTATAATTTTTTTATGAATCCATAATTATACCATCGAGAACTTAGAACTATGTCATGATGTTTCTATTTTAGTGTGTTATCCGGGAGTTATAAATGAAATAGTCTAATGATGATGCATGTATAGGAAAAACAATTAAGTCAAAATTAATTGAAATAAGAGGCTAAGAAAAAATGATTTCAATTGTCCTAATGATTTATGATTTATTGCTCAAATGATGATGTTAGATAAATATATTTGACATAGTCATAAGTACAAATATATATAATAAGAGTTCATGTATAGCTCTTAATATTATCTGAGTGGGATCAAAGATGCTTGATTTAGTGGGATTATTTAGGTTGGGGTATAAATGAGATATAGAGTTATAATGTTATGTTGATTTTGATAGTGACTTGATATAACATCTTTACCTATGATTTTATTGTTTGGTCAGGCATTCCATTTCTCATATGAAAAGGAGAACAAAAAAGATACCTTATCATAAGAATGAGGTTATGATTTAAAAAGCCTAATATGTACAAGTGAGAGATGTAGATAAATGCCGATATAGGTATTTTATTTAGAAGATAAAATCTAGATTTATTAGGATTAAGTTTGGAGAGCCAACTTAATCTAGGACTCTTGATTGAAAAAGTCCTAATATGCTTATAACTCTCTATCTATCTAAGGATACTAATGGTTAATAGGTAGTGGTCTGTCTGAATCTTTTTTTTTTGTTAATTAAAAACAGAAAACACTCTCTTATAATATCTTTGTTTGTTTTCTATTGAACATTATCAAAGTTTTAAGAATTGGTTCTTTTTTTTTTTTTGGTTTCATACAACATCAAAAAAGTTTGTAATTCAACTAGAGATTGTGGTTTGTAAATTTGATATGTTACATTACCCTTTTTATTTAAATATATCAACAATATCCATCTTTGTCTTGCATAAACTTCATTGATTTTATATGTATTTAAGATAGGGATAATTTTGAATTTTGAATTCACTTTCCTAACCAAATGTAATGTATTTTTTATTAATACTTGCCTTTTTCATTAAATATTCCTCCGACTAAAAAACCTATCTAAAAAGAAAATTAATATGGGATATAAGATAATTGTATAGTTTTTAGATTGAGTGATTATTTTTTTAAAAAAGAATTTCTTTAAAGGAAATGAGGGGCTATGAAATATTTTTGGTTTAGAAATTCACAGTGTGCTCACTATTGAATAATGAAGAATAATTGTTTAGATTATAAGTAGAATACAAATAATATAGGTAAGTCTTAAATCTCCTTAAAAAAAATTAAATAAATTAAGATCAAGGCATGTTATTATTATTATTATTATTACACTCCAATATTTCCCCCAATTCCAAAATATTTTCAAAAATCCAAAAAAAAATTAAAAACTTTAAAAAATTGTTTTCAATGCATTTTAATTATTCGCATATCCATTTTGTAATTTTCAACAATTTTCTCTTGTTGATATCTTCTCAAAAAAAAATCAAAAATATATTTTTGATGCATTTTGACTATTAATGTGTTCATTTCATAATACTTAATTAATTTTCTTAATGAATTGACGTTAACATTGTCTTTTGAAATAGAACCAAAACATAAAAAATACAAGAAAATCAAAAATCAAAAATTAAAATAGAAACCCAAATAGACAAAGGATTAAAGTGCAAAAATAAAAATAAA